TTAATGGGTGGCTGACTTACGACTACAAGTACTTGTGGAAGCCCGACATAAACATCGTTCGCTTTCTAGACCACTCGAAGGAGCGGAGGACCAGGATTTTAATAAAAATATGGATACATTTCGGGACTCTAAGAATTGGGACTTCAGGGAGACGGCATAAGCGGTGGCCGGTAGTTGGGACTTAATGAGTGGCTGACGTACGACTAGAATTACTTGTAGAAGCCCGACATATGCATTGTTGGGTTTTTGGACCAGTCGAAAAAGCGGAGGACCAGAATTTTAACAAGAATTTTGACATTTTTCGGGACACAAGAATTTGGATTTGTGGGAAACGACATAAAGCGTAGACTTCGATAAAAGTACTTGTAGAAACCGAAAATATACATTGTTGGTTATGCGGACCATTCGAAGGAGTAGAGACAGGATTTTAATAAGAATCTCGATATATTTCAAATCACAGAATTTACCAAGAATTTGGACTTTAGGGAGACGGCATAAGGGGTGGATGAAGGCCGAGACTTAATGGGTGGCTGACTTACGACTAGAAGTACTTGTGGAAGCCCGACATAAGCATCGTTGGCTTTGTGGACCCTTGGAAGGAGCAGAGGACCAGGATTTTAATAAAAATATGGATACATTTCGGAACACTAAGAATTGGGACTTCAGGGAGACGGCATAAGCGGTGGCCGGTAGTTGGGACTTAATGAATGGCTGACGTACGACTAGAATTACTTGTAGAAACCCGACATATACATTGTTGGGTTTTTGGACCAGTCGAAAAAGCGGAGGACCAGAATTTTAACAAGAATTTTGACATTTTTCGGGACACAAGAATTTGGATTTCTGGGAAACGACATAAAGCGTAGACTTCGATAAAGAGTACTTGTAGAAACCGAAAATATACATTGTTGGTTTTGCGGACCATTCGAAGGAGTAGAGAAACAGGATTTTAATAAGAATCTCGATATATTTCAAATCACAGAATTTACCAAGAATTTGGACTTTAGGGAGACGGCATAAGGGGTGGATGGAGCCCGAGACTTAATGGGTGGCTGACTTACGACTAAAAGTACTTGTGGAAGCCCGACATAAACATCGTTGTCTTTGTGGACCATTGGAAGGAGCGGAGGACCAGGATTTTAATAAAAATATGGATACATTTCGGGACATTAAGAATTGGGACTTCAGGGAGACGGCATAAGAGGTGGCCCGTGGTTGGGACTTAATGAGTGGCTGACGTACGACTAGAATTACTTGTAGAAGCCCGGCATATACATTGTTGGGTTTTTGGACCAGTCGAAAAAGCGGAGGACCAGAATTTTAACAAGAATTTTGACATTTTTCGGGACACAAGAATTTGGATTTCTGGGAAACGACATAAAGCGTAGACTTCGATAAAAAGTACTTGTAGAAACCGAAAATATACATTGTTGGTTTTGCGGACCATTCGAAGGAGTAGAGAAACAGGATTTTAATAAGAATCTCGATATATTTTAAATCACAGAATTTACCAAGAATTTGGACTTTAGGGAGACGGCATAAGGGGTGGATGGGGCCCGGGACTTAATGGGTGGCTGACTTACGACTACAAGTACTTGTGGAAGCCCGACATAAACATCGTTCGCTTTCTAGACCACTCGAAGGAGCGGAGGACCAGTATTTTAATAAAAATATGGATACATTTCGGGACTCTAAGAATTGGGACTTCAGGGAGACGGCATAAGCGGTGGCCGGTGGTTGGGACTTAATGAGTGGCTGACGTACGACTAGAATTACTTGTAGAAGCCCGGCATATACATTGTTGGGTTTTTGGACCAGTCGAAGAAGCGGACGACCAGAATTTTAATAAGAATTTTGACATTTTTCGGGACACAAGAATTTGGATTTCTGGGAAACGACATAAAGGGTGGACTTCGATAAAAAGTAGTTGTAGAAACCGAAAATATACATTATTGGTTTTGCGGACCATTCGAAGGAGTAGAGAAACAGGATTTTAATAAGAATCTCGATATATTTCAAATCACAGAATTTACCAAGAATTTGGACTTTAGGGAGACGGCATAAGGGGTGGATGGAGCCCGAGACTTAATGGGTGGCTGACTTACGACTAGAAGTACTTGTGGAGGCCCGACATAAACATCGTTGTCTTTGTGGACCATTGGAAGGAGCGGAGGACCAGGATTTTAATAAAAATATGGATACATTTCGGGACATTAAGAATTGGGACTTCAGGGAGACGGCATAAGAGGTGGCCCGTGGTTGGGACTTAATGAGTGGCTGACGTACGACTAGAATTACTTGTAGAAGCCCGACATATGCATTGTTGGGTTTTTGGACCAGTCGAAAAAGCGGAGGACCAGAATTTTAACAAGAATTTTGACATTTTTCGGGACACAAGAATTTGGATTTCTGGGAAACGACATAAAGCGTAGACTTCGATAAAGAGTACTTGTAGAAACCGAAAATATACATTGTTGGTTTTGTGCACCATTCGAACGAGTTGAGAAACAGGATTTTAATAAGAATCTCGATATATTTCGAAACACTAAGAATTTACTAAGAATTTGGACTTTAGGGAGACGGCATAAGAGGTGGATGGGGCCCGGGACTTAATGGGTGGCTGGCTTACGGCTAGAAGTACTTGTAGAAGCCCGACATAAACATCGTTCGCTTTCTGGACCACTCAATGGAGCGAAGGACCAGGATTTTAATAAAAATTGGAAACATTTTGGGGACACTAAGAATTGGGACTTCAGGGAGACGGCATAAGCAGTGGCCGGTAGTTGGGACTTAATGAGTGGCTGACTTAGGACTAGAATTACTTGTGGAAGCCCGACATAGACATTGTTGGGTTTTTGTACCACTGGAAGAAGCGGAGGACCAGAATTTTAATAAGAATTTTGACATTTTTCGGGACACAGAATTTGGATTTCTGGGAAACGACATAAAGGGTGGACTTCGATAAAAAGTACTTGTAGAAACCGAAAATATACATTGTGCATTTTGTGGACCATTCGAACGAGTAGAGAAACAGGATTTTAATAAGAATCTCGATATATCTCGAAACACTAAGAATTTACTAAGAATTTGGACTTTAGGGAGATGGCATAAGAGGTGGATGGGGCCCGGGACTTAATGGGTGGCTGGCTTACGACTAGAAGTACTTGTAGAAGCCCGACATAAACATCGTTGGCTTTCTGGACCACTCAATGGAGCGAAGGACCAGGATTTTAATAAAAATTGGATACATTTCGGGACACTAAGAATTGGGACTTCAGGGAGACGGCATAAGCAGTGGCCGGTAGTTGGGGCTTAATGAGTGGCTGACTTAGGACTAGAATTACTTGTGGAAGCCCGACATAGACATTGTTGGGTTTTTGGACCAGTCGAAGAAGCGGAGGACCAGAATTTTAATAAGAATTTTGACATTTTTCGGGACACAAGAATTTGGATTTCTGGGAAACGACATAAAGGGTGGACTTCGAAAAAAAGTACTTGTAGAAACCGAAAATATACATTGTTGGTTTTGCGGACCATTCGAAGGAGTAGAGAAACAGGATTTTAATAAGAATCTCGATATATTTCAAATCACAGAATTTACCAAGAATTTGGACTTTAGGGAGACGGCATAAGTGGTGGATGGAGCTCGAGACTTAATGGGTGGCTGACTTACGACTAGAAGTACTTGTGGAAGCCCGACATAAACATCGTTGGCTTTGTGGACCACTGGAAAAAGCGGAGGACCAGGATTTTAATAAAAATATGGATACATTTCGGGACACTAAGAATTGGGACTTCAGGGAGACGGCATAAGCGGTGGCCGGTAGTTGGGACTTAATGAGTGGCTGACGTACGACTAGAATTACTTGTAGAAGCCCGACATATACATTGTTGGGTTTTTGGACCAGTCGAAGAAGCGGAGGACCAGAATTTTAATAAGAATTTTGACATTTTTCGGGACACAAGAATTTGGATTTCTGGGAAACGACATAAAGCGTAGACTTCGATAAAGAGTACTTGTAGAAACCGAAAATATACATTGTTGGTTTTGTGCACCATTCGAACGAGTTGAGAAACAGGATTTTAATAAGAATCTCGATATATTTCGAAACACTAAGAATTTACTAAGAATTTGGACTTTAGGGAGACGGCATAAGGGGTGGATGGGGCCCGGGACTTAATGGGTGGCTGACTTACGACTAGAAGTACTTGTGGAAGCCCGACATAAACATCGTTCGCTTTCTAGACCACTCGAAGGAGCGGAGGACCAGGATTTTAATAAAAATATGGATACATTTCGGGACACTAAGAATTGGGACTTCAGGGAGACGGCATAAGCGGTGGCCGGTAGTTGGGACTTAATGAGTGGCTGACTTTGGACTAGAATTACTTGTGGAAGCCCGACATAGACATTGTTGGGTTTTTGGACCACTGGAAGAAGCGGAGGACCAGAATTTTAATAAGAATTTTGACATTTTTCGAGACACAAGAATTTGGATTTCTGGGAAACGACATAAAGGGTGGACTTTGATAAAAAGTACTTGTAGAAACCGAAAATATACATTGTGGATTTTGTGGACCATTCGAACGAGTAGAGAAACAGGATTTTAATAAGAATCTCGATATATTTCGAAACACTAAGAATTTACTAAGAATTTGGACTTTAGGGAGACGGCATAAGAGGTGGATGGGGCCCGGGACTTAATGGGTGGCTGACTTACGACTAGAAGTACTTGTGGAAGCCCGACATAAACATCGTTGGCTTTCTGGACCACTCAATGGAGCGGAGGACCAGGATTTTAATAAAAATTGGATACATTTCGGGACACTAAGAATTGGGACTTCAGGGAGACGGCATAAGCGGTGGCCGGTGGTTGGGACTTAATGAGTGGCTGACTTTTTAATAAGAAGTTCAATATTTTTCGGGACACAAGAATTTGGACTTCAGGGAGACGGCATAAGGAGCAGACAGGGGTGACGCGGCTTTCGTGGTTGCTCACCTAGGTCGACTTCGTCCAGCGGCTTCAGCTTGATGGACATGGGCCCCGTGAGAGACAGACTGTTGAACTGTGAGCTCAGCGGGTTCGAAAACGTCACATTGTTCGTGAAGGTAGTGGTGACCGGGTTGTAGGGTAGACTGAACTGCGTCAGCGTGTTCGTGACGGCGTTGGTGAACGTGGGGTTGTTGAAGGAGGTATTCAAAGCGCTGGGGTTGTTGGAGACCAACGCATTGCTGAAGGTGGTGTTGGAGATGTTGCTGGTGGCGTAGGTGGAAGGGACGATGGAGGTACCCAGCGCCGTCGAGACCAACGACGGGCCCATGACGTTCCCGCCCATCGACGTGGCCAGGTTCTGGTGGGTGAGGGCGCCCCCGAGCACCGAGCTCTGTCCTAAACTGGAGCTGATGCCGTGGTGGGTCATGGTCGTGCCCATCATGGGCTTGTTGGCGTAGGTGTGGTGCAGGGTGTTGTATTGCGAGGTGGGGTTGTAGCTGACGGGGTTGGACATGTAGGGCGAGATGTTGGTGGTGGCGGATTGGTTATAGTTGTGGCCGAGGGAGGTCGAGGTGGGGTATATGCTGGGGGTGGTGTGGGACATGGTGATGGGGGAGAGAGGGGGGCTGCACTCGCCCAAGGCGTGGCTGCTGGCGCTAGTCGCCAGACCGGCCCCTGAAACAAACGAGCGAAGTAAAAACGGAAGTCCCGACGTTAGGACTTCGGTAGTCTAGACTGGAACTACGAAGCTGGCTAGTCTACGGCTTGCACAACTCATACAGTTCGTATAAAAAGTCAAACAAAACTCAAATAAGTACTAGGGGAAAAATCAGGCAAATCGTACCTGCCGGGTTACACTTTTTATTCGGACTGCACCGCCACGCCAGCACGGCGACCCGTGGCGAGCTTCGCTCGCGCTCCGGTACTCGCTGCGCTGACCGGGCGGTCGAACAGTGACCCACCAACAACGAAAACCCATCTACTTGACTTACCCAGCGTAGTGGATCGACTATGGTCTAACTCAGCTAATATTCGATTATCTTGCTCTATTTTAGCCATAATTCTCTCTATTTCAGTACCTTTATTGCCCCAGCTTTGGCCGGTGCTTGAAAGTGGGCCGCTGGTGCCGCTCCCCACCGTCCTGCCCCTCTGTGATGCTGCCAGTTCTAATTGCAGTTCTTCGCATCTGTCGGACGACAATAAGAGCGCGTTCAAAAACCCTCACAACTCATTACCTGACCGTTTCTAGAGCTACTTTCTTTTCTAATTCTCTAACCCTAGATTGTCTGGCCTCTAGCGTTTCTGGTCCGCAGCCGCGTAAGGCCGCTAAGGCTTCGGAATGCTGACGTTCGAGCTCGGACCTTCGGGCCTCTGCGGCCCGCAGTTGCATTTCCAGATCCATCTAGACCCTGCAAGACAGGATGAATTGGAGAAATTAGACCGAATTGATTGAGACAAAACTTCCCTAGCCCTTAAAACCCCATAAATCCCCTTCTTTGTAGAGATATAAAATTTGGTTTTGCGATTTTTGTTTTTTATACAGTAAAAATCGAAAATCGAAAAAATTTTCCAGAAAGTCAAAAAATCGAGAACTCCAAAATCAAAAAATCGAAAAACTGAAAATGAAGAGAAATCAAAAAGTAAAAGAATTGAAAGGTCTAAAAACTCGAGAATTTAAAAATTAAGAAATCGAAAATTTGAAAAACAAAAATCAAAAAGTTAAATCGAGATTTCGAAAAATCCAAGAAACGAAAAATAGGACATTCTAATACTGAAAAATCGAACATTCCAAATTTCGAATATTGGAAACTTCAAAAATCGAAGGTTCGAAAAATCGAAAAAATAAAAAAATCTTCCAGAAAGTCAAAAATTCGAAAAACCGAAAAATCAATAAAAATTAAAAATCGAAAATTGAAAATTGTGGAAATCGAAAAGTATAAAAGTTGAAAAGTCTAAAAAGTCAAAAATTTTTAAACTGAGGAATCGAAAATTCGAAAAATCAAAAATCGAAAAGTAGAAAGGTCGAAAATCGAAAACTCAACAAACCGATAATTCGAAAATCGAAAAATCCAAGAAACGAAATATAGAAAAACTGGAATTAAAATATTGAAAATGCGAACACCAAAAAATCGAAAATTCCAAATTTCGAAAAGTGAAAACTTGAAAATTTGGAAGTTGAGTAATCGAAAATTCGAAAAATCAAAAATCGAAAACTCAACAAATCAAAATATTGAAAAATAAAAAAGACACGAAATACAGAAAAAACGAAATATCTAAAGTCGAGTTTAATCGAAAATTCTAAAATGGAAAAATCAAGAATCTGAAATTAAAAAAATTGAAAATGGGAATACCGAAAAAACGAAAATTCCAAATTTCGAATATTGAAAACCTGAAAAATCGAAAATTCGAAAAATCCAAAGTCAAAAAATCTTAAATTCGATGAATCACAAGTTCAAAAAAACAAAAATTCGAAAAATCAGAAATCTAAAAACCACAAAGTAGAAATATTGAAAATTCGAGTATCGAAAATCGAAAACCAAAAAAACTGGAAAAGCGAAAAACTAATCCAAAATTAAAAAAGTCAAAACTGAAAATTCGAGGAATTGAAAATATGAAAAACCAGGAAATATGTATTGAAAAATCGTAAAGTTGAAAAATGGGAAAATTGAAAAATCAAGGAATTGAAATTAAAAACTTTTGAAAACTAAAATTTCGAAAAATCGAAAATTCCAGATAAAAATTCTAAAAATCAGAAAGTCGAAGAATTGAAAAGCTGAGAAATGAAAAAGCGAAAAGTAAAAAAATTGTAAAATCGAAATACTGAATAATGGAAAAATTGAAAATCGAAAAGTAAGAAAATTCGAAAATCCAAATGTAAAAAAATTAAAAAGTTTAAAAACTGAAGAAAATTGAAAAATCAGACTTTAAAAAAGTCAAAAACCAACAATTTTGAAAAATCGAAAATTTGAAAATTATAAAAATTATTGAAAGTACACAAATTGCAAATTCGAAAACTGAAAAATCGGAAAGTCAAAAATTGGATAAATTGAAAAATCGAGAAATTCAAATTGAAAAAATTGAAAATTGTAACATCGAAAAATCGAGAAATGATAAAGCGAAAAATTAAAAAAATGAAAAATCGAAAAGTAAAAATTTAAAAATCGAAAATTCTAAAAAAATCTTTATATCGGAAAACCAAAAAGTAAAAAAATTAGTCTAATAATGAAGAAAACGGAAAAATTGAAAAGTGGAAAATTAGAAACGTCAAAAACCGAAAATTTTAGAACTTTGAAAATTTGAAAATTCGCAGATATGCAGAATTAAGAAATCGGAAGGAAACAAATTCAAAAACCGGAAAGTCAAAAATGGAAAAACTGAAAAATCGAAAAAATGAAATTTAAAATATCGAAAATTAAAATTTTGGAAAATCGAAAATTCGAGATATAAATAAAAAAATTCCACAAATCAAAAATTCTAAAAATCAAAAATTGAAAAAACGTAAATTTAAAAATCGAGAAATGAAAAAGCGAATAATAAATTGAAAATTTTGAAAACCGAAAAGTATAGCAATTGAAGTCTAAAAACTCAAAAATTTTAAAATTGAGCAATCGAACATTCGAAAAATCAAAAACCGAAAAGTAGAGAGATCGAAAATCAAAAACTCAACAAATCAGAAAATAGAAAAGTAAGAGTTGAAAATCCGAAAATCGAAAACTGAAAATTCGAAAATCCCGAAATCAAAAATCAACATTTAGAAAATCAAGATTTCGAAAAATCGAAATATTGAAGACACGAAATATAGAAAAAAAGAAATATCGAAAGTCGATTTTAATCGAAAATTCAAAAATGGAAAAATCGAGGAACTGAAATTAAAAAAATTGAAAATGGGAATACCGTAAAAACGAAAATTCCAATTTTCGAAAATCGAAAACCTGAAAAATCGAAAATTCGAAAAATCCAAAGTCCAAAAATCTTAATTTCGATAAATATCAAGTTCAAAAAAACGAAAAATCTAGAAACCACAAAGTAGAAATATTGAAAATTCGAATAACGAAAAGCGAAACCTCGAGAAATGGAAAAATCGAGAACCAAAAAAACTGGAAAAGCGAAAAACTAAAGAATGGAAAAACTGAAAATCCAAAACTAAAAAAGTCAAAATTCGAGGAATTTAAAATATGAAAAACCAGGTAATGGAAAAGGAAACAAATTCAAAATTCGAATATGTATTGAGAAACCGTAAAGTTGAAAAATGGGAAAATTGAAAAATCAAGGAATTGAAATTAAAAACTTTTGAAAACTAAAATTTCGTAAAATCGAAAATTCCAGATAAAAATTCTAAAAATCAGAAAGCCGAAGAATTGAAAAACTGAGAAATGAAAAAGCGAAAAGTAAAAATATTGTAAAATCGAAAAACTGAAAAATGGAAACATTGAAAATCGAAAAGTAAGAAAATTCGAAAAATCAAAAAAATTAAAAAGTCAAAAAATCGGATTTTAAAAAAGTCAAAAACCAAAAATTTTGAAAAATCGAAAATTTAAAAATTATAAAAATTATTGAAAAAATGAGAAATCGAAGAGGACACAAATTGAAAATTCCAAAAATTGAAAAATCGAGAAATTCAAATTGAAAAATTGAAAATTGGAACATCGAAAAATCGAGAAATGAAAAAGCGAAAAATAAAAAAACTGAAAAATCGAAAAATAGAAAAATGTAAAAATTTAAAAATAGAAGATTGTAAAAAAATCTTTATATCGAAAAACCAAAAAGTAAAAAAATTGGTCTAGTACTGAAGAAAATGGAAAAATTGAAAAGTGAAAAATTAGAAACGTCAAAAACCGAAAATTTTGGAAAATTGAAAATTTGAAAATTCGCAGATATGAAGAATTAAGGAATCGAAAGGAAACAAATTCGAAAACCGAAAACACAAAAATCAAAAATTCAAAAAATGGAAAAACTGAAAAACCGAGGAATTGAAATCTAGAATATCGAATAATTGAAAATTAAAATTTTGAAAAATCGACAATTCGAGATGTAAAACAAAAATTCCACAAATGAAAAATTTGAAAAATCAAAAATTGAAAAAACGAACATTTAAAAATCGACAAATGAAAAAGTAAATAATAAAAAAAACTGAAAAATCAAAAAATTGAACGGAAAAATTGAAAGAAAAAATAAAAATTATCAAAATTGAAAAATTTTTAATAAAGAAAAAGTTGAAAATTCGAAGGATTGAAATGAAAAATCGAGAAGTCGAAAAGGAAACAAATTCAAAATTCGAATATTGAAAATTCAAAAAGTCGAAAAATGGAAAATTGCAAATCTGAAAAATCGAAAATCGAAAAATCGAATTCATGAAACAAATATTTAAAAAATTGAAAATTCTAAAAATCAAAAAGTCGAAAGATTGAAAAACTGAGAAGGGAGAAAACGAAAAGTAAAAAATTAAAAATCGAAAACTGAAGAACCGAAAAGCCAAAAAATGGAAAAATTGAAAAGTCTAGAAATTAAAATTTAAAAAAATGAATATTAGCATTTTGAAAAATCGAAAATTCCAAATTTCGAAAATGGAAATTTGAAAAATCAAATATTCGAAACATAAATTTGATTCATGAAATTTTTGCATGACAAATATTCGAAATGTCAAAAATTGTTAAAAAAAAAATTTCAAAAATCGGAAAGTCGAAGACTTGAAAAACTGAAGAATGGGAAAATTGAAAAACAAAAAGTAACCTTAAAAAAATCAAAATATGGAAATTTCTAAAAGAAAATAATTATAAAAGTTAAAAACTGAATAAATGAAGACATTGAAAACTAAAGTCAAAAATCGAAAATTTGAAAATTCAAAGGATTGAAAAAATGCGAAATCGAAAAGGAAACAAACTGAAAAGTCAAAAAATCAAAAAATCTAGAAATTAAAAATTAAAGAAATGAAAGTTAGCATTTTGAAAAATCGAAAATTCCAAATTTCGAAAATTGGAAATTTGAAAAATCGAAAATTCGAGATATAAATCAAAAATTCCATGAATGAAATATCCGAAAAGTCAAAAATTGTTAAAAAGAGAATGGGAAAATCGAAAATCAAAAAGTAATCTTAAAAAAAATCTTAATATCGGAAATTCCAAAAGAAAATAATAATTACAAAGGTTAAAATAAAAACTGAATAAATGGAAAAATTGAAAATTAAAAAGTCAAAAACCGAAAATTTCGAAAAATCGAAAATTTGAAAATTCGAAAACTGAAAAATCGCGAGGTCGAAAAATGAAAAAATTATAAAATCTAGAAACTGAAATTTCAAAAAAATCAAAACTAGAGTTTTGAAAAATCGGAAAATCCAAATTTCGAAGATTGGAAATTTGAAAAATCGAAAATTCGAGGTATAAATCAAAAATTCCATGAATTCGAAAAGTCA